CTTCTCTTGTTCTCATTCTCTCTTTCCTCCCTCTTCTATTTCTATCTCTCTCTCGTCCCTTCTCTCTTCTCCTTTCTCTCTTCTGTTCTTCACTCTGCTCTCTCTCTCTTCTCTTACTCTCTCAGCTTTCCCTTTCTCTCTTCTCTTCTCTCTAGGTCTCTCTCTCTCCTCTTCTCTCTCTCCTCGCTCTCTGCTCAGTCTCTCCTCTCTCTCTCTCTCTCTCTCTCTCTCTCTCATCTATCTTTCTTTCCCTCCTTCCCTCCCTCCGGCTCGATTAGCGGGCGTCCTGATGCACCTAATGGAAACGCATCATGTTTCTTTAGCTCTCCCCCTCTCCTCCCCCTGCGTGCTCTCCCGCCTTCCTTCATCTCCCCCTCCTCCTCCCGTCTCTCTCCCATCCGCTTCCTTTCCCGCCTCCCTCCCTCTCTCCCTCCTGTCTCCCCTCCCTCCCATCCCCCTCCCTCTCCTCCATCCCCCTCTCCCTCCTCCTCTTCCCTCCCCTTTCTCCCTTCCCTCCCTTCTCTCCCTCCTTTCCTCTCCGCTAATTGAAAATATCATGTATTCATTTTGCTCTCCCTCTCCCCCTACCTCCTCCCCCCTCCCTCCCTCTCCTCTTCTCTCCCTCCCCTCTCTCTCTCTCTCTACTCTCTCCCTCCCTCTCCCATCCGCTCTCTCACTCCCTCCTCCCTCTCTCCCTCCCTCCCTCCTTTCCCTTCGCTCCCTCTCGCTAATGGAAAGTATCATGTTTCTAGCTCTGCGACTTTTGTTTCCTTCGCGCCTCACAAATGCCACCAATTCTCACCCCGTCTACACGCAGAAGGTGAGAGCGAGAGAAGGGGGCTAAAGAGGTAGAAGGGGGTAGAAGGAGGAAGGAGAGAATGGAACGTAGGGGGAGAAGCGGAGGGAAGGGGATTAGGGGAGTTTAGGGCCATAAGGAAGTGAGGGCGAGGCAGGAGTTAGTAGTTTGAGAGGGGTTGGTTAGAGTAGAGTGGGTGGGTTTTTTATATTAATAGAGAGGGAGAGGAAGTAAGGTTAGGAGCGACAAGGGGGAGGGTGGGGGAGAGGGGAGAGGGGTATGAAGCGGAGAGGGGAGGGAAGGGGGATAGGTGGAGTTGAGGAAGGAAGGTAGGCGAGGCATGAGTGGGAGCGGAGGGGATTGATGGTGAGCAGCGGGTAGGGAAGTGAGAGGGGAGGGAAGGAGAAGCGTGGGAAGAAGGGGAAGCGCGATAGTGTGGGAAGAGGGCGAGAAATACGTGAGTGTATACTTCGTATAATGCACGATGCTGCATCGCGCATCGTATAGCTTCACATCTGCCTCCGCAGAGATGCAGCCACGGGCTCAGTCCCGCTCCCATCTACGCGCGCAGGCGGAGTTGATCATCGAAACTTAAACTGTGATAATTAATCGATCTATAGCTCGCAGAATAAGATAGATAGAGAGTAGAGGAGAGAGAGAGAGAGAGAGAGCAGTGAGAAAGAGAGAGCATGAGAGAGAGAGAGAGAAGAGACTTGATAGAGAGAGAAAGAAGAGAGACGGAGCAGAGGATGATGATGAGATGAGAGAGAGAGCGCCCTGAAGAGAGAGAGAGAGACGCGAGGCGAGCGAGCGAGAGAGAGAGCAGAGAGAGAGCAAGCGAGAGAGATGGAGAGAGAGAGAGAGAGAGAGCAGATGAGAGAGGAGAGAGAGAGAGACAGAGAGCGCACTTAAACTATGAACTAGAACGCGACGATGGGAAAATATTCGGCATCTACTTGCATATACAGCGTTGCTGCACCCGCGTGCATAACTGGCGACTGGGGCTGCACGCACGCACGCACCACGCACACAGCGGCTAGAATAATATCGCGTTTCCCATGTTTAGTTAAAAGTAACAACCATGCGAGGCTGTGTGTCGCCATCTCTGCCTGCGCGCGTGCGTGGGTGTACGTGCGTGCGTGCGTGTGGGGACGCGGTGTGCGTGTACGCGCGTGCGTTGTGTGTAGGGGGAGGGCCGGTAGTTTCGCTGCGCGTGTGTGCTCGTGCCCGCTGTGTGCTGTACGTTCGTGCGTGCGTGCGTGTGTGTGCGTGTGTGTGTGCAGGCGCCGTTGTGCGTGCGTGCGTGCGTGGTGCGTGCGTGACATCGCTTAGTGGGCATGAATTGTCTGCTAGAGGCAGCGTTGGTAGCGGCGAGCTGTGTCGTCTGCGTTGATTTACGGAGCGCGCGGAACACGGCCATGACGCTACGCCGATTGAATTAAAAACCTTTTCTCATATCAATCACAGACCAACGATCTCACCCCGCTCACACACACTCTCGCGCGCGCTCTCTCTTTCTTTTTATTTTTATTTCTCCCACTCTCTCTCTTTTTCTTTCTTTCTTTATTTTTTTCTCTTATTCTTTCTTTCTTTATCTTTTTCTCTTATTCTTTCTTTCTCTCTCATTCTCTTTCTTCCCCTCTCTCTCCTTCTCTGCTTCCCATTCGCTTTGTCTCCTTCCTCCCACCCTCTCTCTCCCACCCTCTCTCTCTCTCTCTCTCTTCTTTCTCTCTCTCTCTCTCCCTCACCCCCCTCTCTCCCTCTCTCTCCTCTTTCTACTGCGCTTCCGTCACGACTGTTACCTTCGCTTGATTGAATGTTACACTTTTGACCGGGAGCCTATCGCGCCAAATAGTGTAAATCGCAGGCTTAACACTAACCGCCGTTGTGTTGCGTGCGTGTGCCGGGTGTGCGTGGCGTGTGAGAGTGCGTGCCGCGCGTGTGAGAGTGTGCGGCTGTGCGCTGCGTATAGAAGTGCCGTGCCGTGTCGTGTGATAGTGTGCTGCTGCGCGCACAAATACTCTGTAAACCAGGCTTAAACAATAACGACGTGCGTGCTGTAGCGCTGTCGCCGTGTGGCGTCGTCGTGTTGGTGTGCGTGGCGTGTGAGAGTTGCGTGCGCGCCAAATATGTTGTAAATACAGGCTTAACAACTAACACGTGCGTGCCTGTGCGTGTCGGATTT